GGTCACGTGTAAGCCCGTCTGTCTGCCCTCTCTGGGATCAAACCCCAGAGATCCAACCAACCAAATTCTTTGGACAAGTTGCCTGACGGGGTAACCTCCCATCAGCAGCCCCCAGTTTGCAGATCCCAGTTTGAATGGTCGAGGCTCCCGCCAGGACGGAACCCTGTTAGTGATAGCAAAATTTCCATTTCTAGCTTAAGACCATTTCCATTTCCAGCAATGCGTCTCGTGCGCAGGAATGGTGTCACCTAGCAAGGGACGAAGCTTGCGCTTGTGCAGGACTTTTTTGGTTGGTTGGCCGTCTGTCTATCTGTCCGCAGTTCCAGCTCGAGAACTTCTGAATGGATGTTCATTAGATTTAATACTGATGAGCTTTAACAGAATCTGTTGACACATTCCGATTCTGGTTGAAATCTTACAACAACAACGTGAAAACTACAAAATGATTCGAATGCCTTATTCCGCGCAAAATTTGCTGCGAAAGATAACCCCAGATTGCCTTAGTTTCCATGGTTACAACAACTACCTGTGGAATGCTGCCCGTAACACGCTCGATTATGTGTGTGTATGTGGAAACCAAATATTCGATTCGACCTTTTATTCAGATATGTGGGTGGAGTTAATAATCTCCTTTCATTCATCTTCTGTAAATTTGACAGTCCGTCTGTGCTACAATTTTTATTACAATCTCAGCGTTTATTAAGATCCATTACGAGTTTCAGTTCAACTACTGCATTCCATTCAAACGTCCACTCACCTTGAATAAAAAAATCCTCAACAGATAAATCACATCTTCTACTTAACCAAAGTTCCTACTGCCATAAGAAGCGTATCTTAGCTGCTATAATAATTTCACGCATCTCCGACGATATGCATAGTCAACCCTAGAACACTTAGCATGATAATCTTCAGCTGACTGAGATATCGGAAAAGTGCGGCAAGAAAACTTCGTTCTACATCCGAGAGTAAATTAACCGATGGGCTTCGAAATCATAGACAGCTTTAACATTCTAATATTTTAACCGTCATCTCACGAAGCATCCATACAACTTACGATATTCTTTCTTAGTTCCATTTCATCACTTGCTTCAACCGCAGAGAAAAAATTTCGATTCTAGGTCTAATGCCCTGTAATTTCAGCCACAAACTCTTACGAATACGTGTGAAACAATCGCACGGATTCATGAAAATGTTATGTTTCCAATGCCTTTACAATTTATCATTCGTATCTACTATAATAATTTCGAACACTTAAAGAGAGCCACCTGATGATGACCAATTAAGGTCGAAACATGCAATGGCTCTTAATAGACTTTGAGCCCATAATCACACATTGTTGTATTGACGCGCCTTCAACCCAACCATCAACATGTAGCAGGATGCATTCCTTGAATCTCGAAGCATCTAATTGTCATAAATTTCTTTCGATGATCCGTAATTTTGGCGATTAATTAAAGTTATCGAATCAAAAAGAATGTGGAGATCGCAGCGTGCATCTCGCACGGGAGAGACGAGAAATAAGTCACATTTTTGAATGTAACTCAAATTGCAACCCTTACTGAAGTATTTATCTTTCGGTTGGAACACATTTCAATTGTTTTCTCTAAGATCGATTTAATCTTTCGTTACATAAACCAAAAAATATATTTTCTGTATATACCATAGTCTATTATGATGGGTTCCCAACCAAACTGTGTGTGTATTTCTTGTGTCCTCTGCAACATGGCATCCCTTCCTAAATTTTCATAAGGTCCACATTGTTCAACAGGTTTCAAAAAACCGATACGTGACACAAAATCTGGAGTGCAGATCCGTGATCTCGGAGACGCTCACATTTCTGGACGACGTGAAAAGGTCGACGAAGAAACACAAAGACTCTGTGACACCTTGGTTTGCCCGCCCGCGAAACACACTGGACATTCCTTTTGCTATTGGTGGGCTTCACGGCACAAGTCCGACAGATGTGATCGAAGCGTACGACGCACGAGCAGACCGGTGGATTGTGGTGAGTTGCACGCATTTCTACTCTTACCGTGCCTTGTTAAATGACGTCTCGGAGAAAAACTACTTTACCTCTTTTGTTGCTTATTTTCACTAAGTAATTGTTTATTTAAGCTTAATCACAAGGACCTCTTAGCCTCTTTATTTCGTGTTCGTTTATTTCCATTGCAGTCAACGGCTTGAAGTTCTGAGTGCGTGATGGATTTTTCTGCTCTTGTAAGCTGTCTCTGTTCATCCTCTTCTGCCTTTTTAATGTACACTAGGAGTGAATGCAAACAACCATCAAACTATCAAACTGGCTCTCATATAATACAGATGTAATATGTTTTTGAGACAGTTAATAATCTCATGTAAATAGCACATTGTATTATAAATGTAGAGCACTGCTTGGCAGCTCGTACCGTACACCTCTGACACCAAATTTAATAAAATTCGTTTCTCAGAATTTGTAACCTACCATAATTTCCATTATGCATTTATTTCAGTACTTTATGCTGTTTATATTAAATTTTATCATTTAAACTCGTTTACTTTGACACAAAATGTTTGTCTGCATTCGAAACAAAGAAACAGATGAACAGAGACAGCCGTGTCTGTGCAGTTTCTGTGACACGAAGAGGGACATTAATAGATTTACAAATTTAATTACGGATTGTCCCAAGTTTGTGCTCTGCATGATCCGGTATAATGCCTCTGCCTACACCAAATATGTGTACAGTTCGTGTCATATAGGTAATTTCTTTTTACAGACAAAATATACGTCGCTGGTGGAATTGATGATACGGATTTTCTAAACACGGTGGAAGTTTATGACCCGGACACCAACCGATGGACGTTCGTTGCACCAATGCTTTCTGAACGTAGGTGGTTTGCTTGCGTCCCGTTCCACGGCTATCTGTACGTCCTAGGTGAGAACGCTGGACATTCTGATTGATGCAACTCTATCCTTCTCACAGAACTTGCTATTGTGAAATGTTTTCCTGGTTTTCTTTGAGTAACTGAGATTTTATGAACAGCATTTTGACGTAAACACGACTATACGGAAGGGTCATTCGGCAAAAAAATATAACGAAAATGTGTAACGAAGTTGGGTCACAAAAATGTGTAAGATCGATATCAACAAATCTACAACAATTGTTACCTGGGAAACTGGCCCCGCTTATGGGGATAGAATAAGTTCCCTTTGGCAGATTTTTATATGCTGTGACCTTTTTACGGAATGTGTGTGTGTGTGTGTGTGTGCAGGAGGAAACAACAGGATATCATACAAGCTCAGTACCGAAAAGTATGACCCTGCAGAAGACACGTGGACCGAGATCCCTGACATGGACTTTAAATATCGTGACATAAACGGAGAAGTCATCGACGATATGATCTTCATCAGTTATGGTAAAGAATGTTACAAATACAAGGAAAATCGATTGTTTGTTTCTTTGTTTGTTTGTTCAGGACTGTATAATCACAAACTGTTACTTTCGAAATGCTCTAGGAAGTGAATCATTTCCGGTCAAGTTATCCGCGATCTTGCGGATGCTGCACCGTGTGGTGACGTAGAAACAGCCCGACGTTTCAGAGGATCTTACTTCTTACTCAGGGCCTTGAATACAACGCGCGAAAAATAGGCGAGAGGAAGGGGGTAGAGTGAAAGCAGGCAGGGCGATGTTGCGTTCAGTCCGTATCGTTAAAGCAAAGGCCAAATGACTAGGTAATGCTAATCAGACGTAAACTGTAACTACATCATTAAGAAGCTCTTAGAGTAAGTTTCTTTGATCAGTGGCACTGTCTTGGGCAGATAGTTTCTGGCGTTCAGCACATCAGCTTCGCCATAATCTTCGGCTTTCATCAAAGTGTTAGGCCAGTTTCAGGTTTAACGACGCCAATCAGTCTCATGTTCCCATTTTTTATGGAAGTTTATTTGGAAATGGCTGTTGAGGGAGTGAATAAGTAGGTCCAAAAACATCCCTGAAGACAGATTTCTTCATACTTGTTTGTGCAACAGCCAGAAATCGCACAGAAATTCATTTAATTTTGATTTTGACGTAAATACGTCTATATTTTAGGGTCAGTGTCATTCGGCAAAAAGTGGAACGAAAAGTGTAACAATGGTCTATCAACAAATAAACAACAATGGTTACCTAGGAAACTTCATCTGTTTATCAGCAATTCGACAATAATGGTTACCTAAGGAACATCTATTTACTCGGCATTTTTGTTACCTAGGAAACGTCATCTCTTTACTCGGCATTGTTGTTACCTATAAAACATTTCATAACATACCTTACCTTACCTTACCTTACCTTACCTTACATTACATTACTATACATTACCTTACATTACATTACATTACATTACATTACTTTCATTACATTCAGCTACCACATACCCATCTTAAGCGTAACTAATTGAAGTTAAATAAGAAATGTCTTAATCAAACTTTACGCAATTGTAAAGCATGTATAAAGGAAATAATTAGAATAAAGCCAATATATAAACTTCCTTTCCGTATAGACGTATTTACGTCTAATTCTCCGGAACCGTGGTTCCACTGACAACTTTTTGTCTGTTTTACGTCCAGCAGAACCTCTCCAGATCTACTTTTGTTGGGTCAAAATTCTTCTGAAAATATATTGCTGAAAGAGGTAAATATTTTCATGGACGCATGTCTCAAACAAGATACGCTTATCTCTCCAAAGAAAGCATGTGATTAAATTTATTATTCTGACCGAAGGTACTGGCTTAATGAAGGGTACAAAACTTAGCTAGCGCAGAACACAAGTCATTTGACAGCGTCCTAAAATAGAGGTAATCTCTCCCTCCACTTTGATGCAATAAAATGTATCACGTGATAATAGAACGTTGGCCGGGGTTCTATGTGCATGCGTGAAAGAAAGATCACGTGGGAACTGTTCTGAAATGTGGTGTAGCAATCGTGCATTTAATTCAGATTGGGGGAATTTTTGTTAAGGTTGTCTTGAAACAAATTATAAGCAACGACATTTCGGTGGAAGCTGTGCCCTTAGCTTCTAGCAGTTTTCAATTTTACCAAAAGACAGAGCCAGCCCATCAGACATGGATATTTTTAGGTCAACACATTTCACGTCTCACATATATACTTAATCTACAACTAAATCTCTGATATTTTAGAACCCCAAAAGTAAAAGTATATATATTTTTTAAAAAAATGGATAATTTCTTTACATAAATGCACCGACATTCAAATTATATTTCTGTTAAATTTATATTAAATAAATTATTTATGGTAGAAAACGCATTCCATCGAGAGTTACATCATCGCATGCAGATATACATATTTTCTGATAAAAATTGTCTTGAGTATAGAAAATGCTGATGGATGATGAAAGAGGGTTTGTTTCCACTTTTAATATTTCAAATTGCAGGTACAAAGTGGCAGACATGAATGTTTATAGATCCCGTATGTCGATTTGTGTCGTCAAGAACCTACCGAATGCAAGCGATTACGCCTACAAACACAGAGACAAATTGATGGTGGAGAAACGCAAAAAGGAAGGAGAAGAAACGCAAAAAAAGAAGCAGAAGAAACGTAAAAAAGGAAGAGGAGAATCGTAAACAAATATTAGATTGGGAAAATCAGTAGTTTGCACGAACACATTAATTTTAATTACTTTCCTTACGAAAATTATGTGGAAAACTAGGAATTGATGTAGGAGCTACAAAAAATAAAAAGAGAAATGTTGTTTGCAGCATACAAGGAAAAATTATTTCTTCTCGTTATTTTCTGCTCAAGAAGTCTTATTGAAATAAGTTACTTTACAGACGTTTAATTTTACCATCCATCAATACACAGCAGCTTCACCTTGCGTCTTGTATTAAATAAATCCACTTATGGCGACATATTTCGAGTTACGAAACCGTCTGCATGGGATTAGGGGAAGATCAAATGTTCTTGCTTCATGAACATCGTTTAGAAAAACCTCATTACGAAGGCAACACTCTGAGAATTTTGTATCGATTTCTGATCTACGTGTGATATTTTAAAGAAATTGCACAAGTAAATTTGGCTGAGTTGCCCCAATATACCGGGTAATTGTGCCATGTGCCTGGGGAAGTACAAACCTTTTCAAATGCCGTCAAGAAACAGACGATGCTTTCAGTTAACATATGTATTTATTTATTCACTGTATTTTGTAAGGTAATTTTAAGTATTTAATGAATAGGCACAAAATATTACTACAAAATACAAAAACTAGGGACTTGAATTTAGTTAAGGTACATACGGAGTAATAGAAAAATGTGACAGCTGTAATCAAACGGGGAAATCAAGGCATGATAAAATGTAACACAGAATCAGCTTAACAGATCGTAAGCCGGGCGCCGTCTAACTGCCTGGTACCTGGAAGTACAGTACCAGAAAGTGCCATTAACCCAGACGTGGTTTACGTAACACATTATTTATTCCCGCCCGAGCCCATTGTGTTACAAGACTGCAGATTCAGAAGAACAGACTTTCAAATTAAGGAGTAAGAACACAAAGCTACACTTTCCGTGCAATCTATTAACTTTAAAACACAGAAGAGAGAGATGACCCCCCCCCCCCCCCAACTTTTTCTGTTGTTAAACACTGAGATTCTGATCGTTTACAACGGATATTAGATGCAATTTTAAGCATTTGTTTCACCGCTTCCCTTTGGTTGAATGCAAAAGTACATACTATATTCATAATACTTGAAAAGAACAAAACAATGCGAAGTAGCGTTACATATACTTGAAGCAACTTAATATCGAATTTAGACTATCGGAATCCCCGTGTTCTTGGACAGTGACTTCAGGAGAAATTAAGGCCCTTAGAATGTTCGATAGAAGAATGATTAGAAAAATCCGTGGTCCGATAAATAAAGGAGAAAGCTGGGAAACAAAACTAATAAGGAGACAGAGGATGTATAATATTGTAACATTTATAAAATCTCTCAAAAACATTTATAAAATCCCTCAAAGATGGCGTGGACATAAAGGAAGAAGGAAGAGTGGTAGACCACGTAAGAGACGTAGACATGAGGCTGAAGAGGATTTGAAAATCATGGGAATACGAAATTGGTATAAAGGGGCTAAGGACCATCAGTAATGAAGGGAAAATGCACTGAAAGCCAAGGTCCTCAACGACCCTAGGGCTTGAATCGAAGAAGAATGTTGTCAAATGGCAGGAAGATTAAGTTCATCAGTTGTAAAGGATGCGGAGGGAAGTGGTCGTGTCCTAACTTTAGGTATAATCCCCTCATTGTCTTAAGAAACAGAGGGAAACGAGGACAAAGCCATCATAATTGCTGCTCTCTGAGCCAAGATTCTTGCCCATAACTTCCGGAATGAAACGAATGAATGCTAATCAACTGATCATGATGGTTGGTATAATCAGGCAATGGCTTGTATTGAACATATTGCTCCTTTAATTACATTATGAAACAAGGATTTTAAGCATTGTTATGTGCATATATAATAGCTTTAACATAATATTCTTAATATTAGTTTTACCATGGTAAATGAGAGTGTATTTCGCTTTTATAAATAACAATATCTTATTAAACAAGGAGTATACACATTTCTTTTAAACTTAAGTAAAATCAACAATTTTAGTATAAGATCTTGCGCCAATCTCTTTATTTCTACATATTTCTTGCAGCCAACATCCTCAAAAATCTGCGTCACATATTCCAATCTTTGTCTCCCCCTACAATTCCTCCCTTCAACTGTTCGTTCCATTACCAAATTAACCAATCCTGGGTGCCTCAGAATGTGTCCCTCCATCCTATCTCTTCTTCTGTTAAGAATTTTCCATAGCCTTCTTCCTTCGCCTGTCCTGGCTTCCTTGGACACGTGTCAGAATAAGACGACTTTTCTCTCCTGCCTCCTTTCGCTGTTATCAGGTACACGAAGACTTGCCAGGAAAACTAGCATAGAACTAGTGGGAAAATAAAGGCATGAATGATATACTGACACAGTTTGCCAGCCTCAGTTTGACTCCAGATCACGTAAATTTTCGTAAAATACGTGGTTGGCTCAGTCCGACATCGGGCCGCAAAAGGTTAAAGATAACGACAATGCAAAAATAGTAACAGGAGGAGTTTCATGGCCCTTAGGTCCAACTGGAAAACCATTCTGGCCCTGATTTAGTCAATTATTTAGAAGTACTTATTGTGCCTCTAATAAAAATCACGCAAACCTTAACTTCTTCCTGTAGAATTGTAAGCCAAATTATAATCTGAGAGTACAAAAATCGCATAACGACTCTACCTTTCATGCCCTAAAAAGTAACTTCAGCAAAATCCTCAAACATATTTTAAAAAGTATCAGTAAATAGTTCTAGCCCCTTGGGGATAAACTTGACATTACGAAGAAAATTAATTCATTATGCTCTGATACTTCATTTTGTTATTGTGATTTCTGGTAATTTAGCAATGTTTCAGGTCCAATACGAAGGGCAAAAGCCTTAAGTGGTCACTATCAGCATTTCTTTGACTGTTTTGTGCCCGGTTCAAAATTCCATGGTATCTCAAAAGAAATGTTGTTTTAAAGTTGCGTGTGCCTGTACGCAGAACAATGTCCGTTTCTTTCATACTGTTGTGCCATGGATAGCCGTAACCAAGAGGTTACGGCTAATGAACTATTTGTTTTTCCTGAACGTGCCCTGTTGACCATGCGCAGTTGTGTTTCCACCACCCCTTTACCTTTTCCTTAAACTTCCTGATTCTGTGTGGCCTAACAGGGAGGTCACTTAGGTACAGGGTTTCACCAGAAACACTTTACAAATTCCATTTTGGCTGCTTATTCTAAATTTAATTTAATTTAATTTAATTTGATTTGGGTGATGTTCTGCCCTGTGCGGATGCTCCGCCGGTTGAGACGTCCGCTGTGGTAAGTCTTGTGTTTTACTTTGTCTTGGGCATCCAGCGGACATTTTGTTAATTTCATTTATAATTCTTTTGTATTGTGTTTATAAATGATAATATACACTCATTTGGATTCTGTGTTCTATGTGGCTACTTTTAATTAAACTGATACACGCCAATCATATTTAGAGATCTGATTACTGGCCCACCGTTAAAGGGATTAAATCTATGGGGATGTAATGAACAAGGAAAGTAGCATTTATGAAGTGACCGGGAAGCTTGTCGGAAAACGTCAAGGGAGGAGGTCATAAAAACTTGTGATAACAAAACATAGAGTAATAATAAAATTTGTTACAGAGAAACATAGTGTGGGCTGGAATCAATTTACTCATTACAGGGAGTAATGATGAACATCTGTGAATACTGTGATAAACCTTCTTATATTTCAACAGCAGCAGAATTTCTTGATCACCTAGTAACCACGTACTTTCTGAGAAAGATTCTTTGTCGTAGATTTAGTTATTGGGCTTACGAGCCTACGGTATAAAGTTAAATGTAGTGGGAGAGAAGAGATATTATACAGAATTGAATTTCACTTATGTAAGCCTAAAACTAAGTGAACATCCGTAGTAAAAGTTTTGCAATTACATGTTCCTCCTCCCCTTCGACTACGGCCTCTCGCGCGCATGGTCTGCGGTGTCCTGCGCGGCTACATGGATTGTCCATTACCGGAGCGCCTTGTAGCGACCCCCAAAACCCTTCTCAATGATTTAAACCAAGTTAAGTTGTTAGACAAGGTGGATTGTGGTTTCTCACAACCTCCTCTTTAGGATGACGGGCTCAAGCAGGGCTTCTGACTACATGTTCGGCTAGCCAACCCTTTTACGTGCTAATTGCACCAAGTACCTGAAGAGAATCAAGGCGATACCATGTTTGCCCGTTCACATGTACAACTTCCCAAACCGCTTAACGAATTTCGATTAAATTCTGTATGCGGGACTTGAGAAATTTGATTATGGTCCGTATCAAACCTTTATAATCCGTACTTTAGTTGAAGATAACATCGAATTTAATAAAATTCGTCGTGAAACAAGTATCAGATAGTTCGAAGCCGTATTGGGAAGTGGAGGTGTAGCTCCACATATTTTAATCCTGGGAGCTAGATGTAGGTGAGTGGCCAGATTCGTACTTGTCTGTTTTATCCTTAGGAATTATCCTCCTGGCACACACTGGGCATGAAGTCGAGTTGGTCTTAGAGCCTAGGTCTGGACACTACTACTAATAAGCGAACCCTGGATATCAATCACTAGAGATGTTCTGTATTAGACCAACTCCATAAAATATACATAATAAAATCTGTAACTTTTCTTGAAACCTTTCTTGCTCGGGATAAATTAACGAAATACAGAAAATAGGCTAATAATTTATTCATCTGTTCCAGTGTATAATTTAAGATTCGCTAGCATGAAATACAATTGTTAAGTCTTTTGTACACTTGACATGTGTCTGTTGTCCACGTTTGTTCTGTGTCTGACGAAAAACAATTAAACCACTGTTTGTTAACCTTTGTGGTACTGCTCGCGTCTCCTCTCCAAAATTATTTAATTTAATTCGATTAAACGGAACGTATAATAACTAAAATATGGTTAGAATGAGTAATTTTTGTGTTTTTACTTTCATGTGGAAGTAAAAATGTGACGTAAAACAGCTTAGAACTTGAATGTGCAATGTACTCAGTTCGCGGATCCTTTAGTTACTATTTGAGAACCTACAGGGGTCCGCGGATTGTCGGTTGACAAACAATGAAACAGGTAATCGTAGTTCTGTTCTTAAACTTTTGAAGCCATTGACGAGGTAATCAAATCTGGCATGGAAAACCAATAACAAACCAATTCGATTAATGGTCTTTTAGGCGCATTCTCAACTAGAAGTTAAAAAAAATGCACCTACTAGATTCGCCGTGTCTGTCGATAAGCCACATCTCTGTATGCAAACAGAAGAAGCTGATGTCTCTCTTGTTTCAACATGGCTACAGTACCACGCGATATAGCACTTCACGACGTGTGCTGTGGTTGCTTATTTGTGAATACTCGCAATGTCCGTGACCCTGACTATTCAAGTCTGTAAGTTAGCGACATTTCACTAATTTCTGAAACATGTAGGTAAACCTGTTTGATAACTGCAGATTAGCAGTTAAATGGTACAAACGGTTCTTGCATATAAAACAAGACATTATAATTTGAGGTTTTCACAGCGGTGAGTGTGAAGATTTCTGTCTTCTGATCTGTTGCGCTGTGTAGTCTTTGATATTGACGAACTTTTTAGTGGTCATACTGCCTCCGTCATCAGGGCGATGAATATGAAGATTTCCGTCTTCTGGGTTGTTGCGCTGTGTAATCTGGTCAATGTTAACCAACGTTTTAGAGATCATACTGCCTCCGTCATCAGGGCGATGAATATGAAGATTTCCGTCTTCTGGGTTGTTGCGCTGTGTAATCTGGTCAATGTTAACCAACGTTTTAGAGATCATACTGCCTCCGTCATCAGGGCGATGAATATGAAGATTTCCGTCTTCTGGGTTGTTGCGCTGTGTAATCTGGTCAATGTTAACCAACGTTTTAGAGATCATACTGCCTCCGTCATCAGGGCGATGAATATGAAGATTTCCGTCTTCTGGGTTGTTGCGCTGTGTAATCTGGTCAATGTTAACCAACGTTTTAGAGATCATACTGCCTCCGTCATCAGGGCGATGAATATGAAGATTTCCGTCTTCTGGGTTGTTGCGCTGTGTAATCTGGTCAATGTTAACCAACGTTTTAGAGATCATACTGCCTCCGTCATCAGGGCGATGAATATGAAGATTTCCGTCTTCTGGGTTGTTGCGCTGTGTAATCTGGTCAATGTTAACCAACGTTTTAGAGATCATACTGCCTCCGTCATCAGGGCGATGAATATGAAGATTTCCGTCTTCTGGGTTGTTGCGCTGTGTAATCTGGTCAATGTTAACCAACGTTTTAGAGATCATACTGCCTCCGTCATCAGGGTAATTTAGTCTTTGTTTACGAAGAGAATAATTACAGGACATTTCAGATGCATAATCGTAATACATTTTGTTCAAGTACTACGATCATTCCATTTATTTTGGGGTCACATTGTTCCTGGAAGAGGATCAGAGACGAGAGTAAGCTGTGTGAAAGAATGTTTTACTGCAAATGATGTTTGCTAAAAATGTTTGTGGTTACATCGAATAATTGTGCGGGGCAGAGTAATAATTTTGGTTATGTTGCATGTAGGATTTCTCTGATATCAACTGTTCGCCTTTAATTAATTGAATACCACTATGTGCACCGCCTTGTTATACCATGTCCCGTCAGACTAAGACTCTAGAGATCTTTATTGAAAGCATATGTGCTGAGTGTATGGGGGAATGAGTCAAAATACTTGAGAAACTTTCTATAAAATTATGTTACAAGCAGCAGAAAATATTTGTTACTACTTGAGTTATGGCACGGCGAAGAGAGGTACGGCCTTAACGTTTTCCTGGTGCACAGTAAAACGGAAAAGGGAAAGTACAAGTGTGAGCGAGACTCAAGAGAAAAATTCAATTCATTGAAGGAATTTTCGTCTACGACACGGTCACTTCAAGGAGAAGGGAGTCATTGCGCAAAGTTGTTATTCCAGTTGATCGCATCCGCTTTTATGCTATTCCACCCCCGCTAGGGTAGAATCTGTGACAATTCTTGTCCAAGGAAGACCAAAAGATATCCTTCCTCTTACTAGAGTCTGTTCTGTATTCCAGAGTGTCGGCCTTGTGGGGCGAGACTGTCCCTTGTCACCTTCGGAGCAGCAACTGATCAAACGCGTCGAGGGAAAACGATTAAGGTATGTGCCTTAATTTGCCTACAAGAGCTGTTAAAAACGATTCGTTTGACAATAAATGAGCTAAATTTAGACGGAAACCCATTTCTAGCATTTAATTTTGCTGAACGAAATATAGTTAACACACACATAAGCCTACACCGGAAAGAAAAGATTTTGGTCGGAAATCACTTGGAAATTACCACATTAAAAACAAAGCAGGAAATAAGATAACATTAAGAATGATCCGAAGGAAGTTGTGCTGATGAGAGGAAGTAGCTCAGAATCTTGTCCAGTTTTAAGCTTATGGGAATGTTCATGATAAACCTATGACAATTACAGCATAATTTACCGTAAACGTTAATATTCAGTGATATTAATATCCTGCTTGTAGGTTACTGTTACTGATATCGATATCAGCCCCTCAAGCCAGGTATGGTACCTCGCTGCACTAAACAGTGGGACATACTTGTCCTTAGCCCTGGTGGGAGTTTATGGCCTGTAGTGATCGTCTTTAGAAGGCCTTGTCTAAGCCGGAATTATTATAGATGACATCAAAATGAAACAACGGGGATTTTAATTTTGTTATTCTGTTTCGTTTTTATACGTTACATATTTTGGCCTGTATAAAATATAATACTAAATCACTCTTTACCTAACTACATGGAACGGAACCCCTCTTTAAAAGCTAATAGTTGTTCCGCTATTTCAGGAATTCCCCTCCTCTCCCCTATCTTATGTAACCCGAAGGTTCATCAACATATTCACAAGAGCCTTCCTATTCTTATTCTGTGTCAGATGAATCCAATCCATACTTAAATTATATTTCCTGAAGATCTATTTAAATATCCTTCCATCTACGCCTAGGTCTTCCGAGAGGTTTTCTATTCCCTTTAGTCATTCAATCCAAAATTTTGTACGCATTTTTCATCTTCTTCTTGTCCCGCCGATCAAACCCTTCTTGATTCGATAATCGTAATAATATTTTTTGAAGATTACAAACTATGAAACTCTTAATTATGCACTTATATCCAGTTTGCTCTCACTTTGTAGCTCTTAGGTCGAAATATTCACCTATTTTTTGTGTGTTTTAACCTTTACGTCTTAGATCGCCGACAGGATGACTAAATATTCTGAATTGCTTGACGGTAGAAATTCCCCGAATATAGCCTGCTGTATCCCCCCCAATAAAATTCCTCGTTCCTAGCGTTCCCAGTTGTTTGAAATTTTCCAAATTTTTAAAATTTTTGTTTCTCCCGATACCTTCATATGTGATTTTAAAAAAAGTCTGATGACATGACAAGAACGAGTACTTAGTTTTCTCCGCGTTTACTTCTAGACCAAGATTTTTTTCCTTACATCGGGTAGTTGAAATAGCATCTGTAAATAACCTAATAAGCGTATTAGTGAATATCGTATCTAGCGATCGATAGTAGATTAGTAGGAATCGAATTGTGTTACTGGTAATAGACATCGAAGGAAAAGGTTTACGGCGACATTTCATTTATCGGATAGTCAGTTCAGGTCCTTGTACGAGAACGTGTTCTTTTAACAAGCAGTTTATTTTCGTTAGCGGAGACTTGAACGCGTGTTGTTTACAGTACAAGGTATCTGTAAACGAATGTAAGAACAAAACTTCCTATTCTTTAAATGAGGAGTACAGCACTTTAACTGCTACAAATGCTACACCTCTCAGCAGCTGTCTTTGAGTTTCGATCCTCTTGTCCTAAAGAAATTAAGCGCTGTGAACAGTTCCTCGACCCAAATGTGTAGACTACGAACTTCCAAATAAATGTCCGTGTTTATTTTTTATTTTTCATTTTGTGTAGAAATAATACCGGATGGAGGCATACTTTACTTTTTTTTTTGGAAATAACGTTAGGTATATAAAAATGTTCCAAATAACAGTTGCAGATCTTACTAAGGTCAGTATTATTATGCATTGTGCAGTGAAGGGTTTCTGTTGTGATATGGGTTTTTTATTTTGATACTCTTGTGGGAGAAGCTAGTGAATGACTTCTTTTTTGTATACAGTTATTAATTCGTAGAGGTATTTATTTCAGAATTATAAGGTAATACTACGAGACAAATGCCATTTTTATAAATAAGGTTTCCAAAAAACGATGGTAATACAGTAGATTCCGGTTAATTGGGCCATCGGTTAATCGGGGTAGCCGTTTATTTGGGACAAATCTTAAAGAACAGACCTTTTTAACTCTTTACATGGAACTTCGCATAATTGGGGCAGCCGCTTAGTTATGCAAGGGGTTGTAGTCCCGATGTGTCCCAATTAGCCGGAATCCACTGTATTGAGAAATTTCTCAGTTATTTCCGTAGGAAAATGTAATTCATATAGAATCTGACTCTTATGTGAGCATGTGTTTGACCTGGGACGTTCTTATTTCAAGAATTTCCTACGTCTTACTGTGTCTTGTAGTGTATTGACTAACACCCATGTTTCGTATTCGGGAGGTAAAGGATTTGAATCCCTTTTCGCTGTCTGCTATGTCTGAGATATTTCGTTGGGGAGATTCTCTCATCGCCGTGGTTTTCAAATTGGCTCTGGGGCTCACCGTGCATGGGCACCGAGGGTTGCGTCCTAAGATGTTCAGAATTCGGAACGTGAAGCTAATATCTAAGAGGTCTAGAATTCATAGAGCCTTACCTCCGAATGTCTTCATAGTGTTGTGCAACAATCACGGAATCTATTATGTGAAATTTGAAATTTTAAGTATTGAAGATGAGAACTGTAAGGCTGTGAATCAGTAAAGTTTTGAACTGGATGCCTCAAGATACAAAGCACTTTGTAACAGTATTATGAAAGTGTAATTCTTCACTTCGAGCAACAGGTAGTCGAAAATGAGCGTTAAGGAAAATGGCGTAACGGAAGGAGAAATTATGTAAGTTGGTAGTTGTAGGGCTGTTAGTAGAGGAGTGTGCTTTATCATAACGCCACGGTGCAGCGGTTTGAAAACGGATGGAAGGAAGGATGTTGTTACAGACGCTGCACACTGGCTCTGTTCTGTTAGTTCAAACAAGTTGTTGAACTCTTCTAAAAATGGAGGCCACCAGTGAAATTTTATAATTGACTCATTCTTATGACGCGTAATTTCTCCGCTGCTTAGAACAAGTTCTAGGAAGAACTACTACTTGTTGCAAATGCTTTAATGAGCATGGTACTGCTAGCTAATATTATGATTAAATACGTAGGATTATGTAGTTTCGTGAACTACAGTTGTGCATAACCTCCACTAGTAAACATTTTGACTTTGTTAAAATTGCCGGATATAGGCCAAGTTCAAATTTCCGCAACGCAGCCATGTTTGTAATTGTTAATGTGTAACTGTTAGCATGAAATATGTAGATATTTCTTTGATCCATTTCCACACAGAAATTTACATACATATTAAGGTGATTTGTTAGTAATCATCATTAATCCCATAGCTAAATAAATAATTAATGCTACCGCTGTTATATTCTTCTGCTTTGCTAAAAGATTGCCTCTTTTTTTGTTGGTTTTTGAATCACATAAAACAGCAACAAACTACAATTACAAGAGATAGTTTACATATTTAAAAACAATGCACTAATAAAACACGTCCTATTTCTTACTGGTACCATACAGGTTTATCTGTTGTATATGGCTATAGGACATGAGATATTCAGTCTTACGAGTCTGGTAGTCGACAGAGAAAGTATTAAATAGCAGCACATTTATTGCAGCGAAGTCAACTCTAGCTATTCCGTTCAACAGCTAGTCAGCTACGTGGGCTATGAAGGATGATAAAATCATCTAATTTTGATGTACGAAATAGCCATTTAACTCAAAGATCATTAAATTTGAAAAGAACACAATTGGAAAGACGTATTCTTTGAAATGCGCAGACATTCCAAAGGAATTCTCCACTTCACATCACGTAGGTCATTGTTACGCTTTTACCCGAGGTAAATGTTGTGTTAAATCAATGACTTCTGTTCTTAGTACTGCTCAACATTGCGTTCCAGCAATGGGCCACGGATCCCGCTTTTGCGCAACAGTGGCCCTGGTAATATTGGTTGTCTACCTCCTAGGAAAACATGACAATAGACAGACATGGACGGGTCCATATACATACATACATACATATTCTATTACATTGCATGTGCAATATAAGCAGAGCAACAGATACACCAGATTTTAATTTTAATTTTGATAGACCTGACGATGATAGAATTGTATATCGAAACATGTCGTCAATTTTAAAATGTAACAATTTTATGTGAAATTTTATATGATTTTATATGATTTTAACAATAAGCTTGTGTAACGACGGAAAATAAAAGTACTGTATTGAGGAACACAAGCATGATGCAATTAAGATATAAGCTGTACAATTGTCAAATAAATTGCATATATCAATTATTAAATTTAAAACGTAAGGTATTGAAGTGCAATGCTAATATTAGGTTTAACAAACTATGTTTAAAGGAGAGAATAACACCGAAATATGTAAAAATCAAAATACAAGGAAATAATCCTAATATACAAATAATTCAACGAAAGGCAGTAACATTATATTTAAAAGCAGAAATTAAACAATTATACAAAAAGAAATATCAGTTAAACATATTAACCTATAAAAAACATTTAGAAGTTGCAAACATATGGAAGGATGTATGGTTGGACATAGAAAATGAAATAATACAAAAATTAAAAACCGAATTGACTAAAGTATATCAGAAACAAAATAATAAAATAAAAACATTAATAAGTAAAACACGAAACGAAGATAATAACGAATACAAACAAAATGAACCATCACACCATTTCGCATGTCGCGTAAAAAACTTAACAAATATTCAATTCACACCAAATGAATATAATTTACTAAACAAAGGCTTAAAATACAATTTACATCATAAACATAAAACATGGATCACAAACCTAGCACTGGAAGCAGAAACTGCAATAAATCTAATTCCTATACAAAAACAAGATCATATACGACACATAATAGCAGACAAAATTGAACACCTAATTAAACAAAACAAAAAGAACGATCAATATAATAAAACACATAATAATGAATGGAAATTAATAAAAAATATCAAACAAAAATTACAACAAAATAAACTAACAATTACGCAAGCAGATAAAGGAAAAACCATCATAATACTCTCTATAGAACAATACCAAAAATACATCACTCAATTTATAAACAAAAATGAATTCACACAACTAACACAAAACCCAACACTAAAATATCAAAAGGAAATACAAAAAATAACCCAAAAGTGTAATAACATTTTTAACCATCCCAAAACACAATACTATAATCATAGCGCCACCGCACCAATCATCACAGGACAAATTAAACTACATAAGAACCCATACTCTATCAGACCATTAATAAGTTGGACATCAGCCCCTGCATATAAAATAGCAATAAAAATGCAAAACATTTTAAAAGAATATTGTAATTTACCAAATACCTTTAATATAACAAATTCTATAAAATTAATAAATGAAATCCAACAACTAAATTTTCATAATAATAAAAATATACAAATTTGTTCTTTTGACATCAATAATATGTATACAAATATTCCAACAAGCATGCTACGAGATGTTGTGAGAGATATTCTAAATAGACAGAATATAAATACAGATCTAATAAATGAAATTACAAATATAACTAACATTATTATTAACCAAAATTATTTCCAATTCAACAATGAATATTGGAAACAAGAAACAGGATTACCTATGGGAGCTCCCACCTCGAGCATATTATCTGAAATATTCTTACAATATCTCGAACATGATTACATAGTAAATATATTAAATAAATATCAAATTAAATACTATAGTAGATATGTTGACGATATACTCATGATTTTTGATGGAAAAAATACAGACATAAAAAATGTTTTAAATGAATTTAACAACATAAATCAAAATATACAATTCACTTTAGAAAAAGAACAAAATAACAAATTAAATTATTTAGATCTAACTATAATACGAAACGAAAATAACTTCGAATTCAAAATATACAGAAAGCCCACAAATACAAGCACCATAATACATGCC